GTGTGAGTGTGTGTGTGTGTGTGTGTGTGAGTGTGTGTGTGTGTACCTTCATGTCATTGATGTGCAGATACTCCTCGATGATGGCAGTGGATTTCTTCTCCAGCTCGTCCTCCGTCAGCGCCGGTTTGGAGGAAGCAGGTGGAGGAGTGGGAACAGTTTCTCTCTTCACTGCTAAAAAATTAAACACACACACAACAAAACCTGTCAAAAATATCATCAGTGTGTGTTTTGTTCCATCTGCATGACATAAAAACAGGAATAAGTAATGCTCAATTATATTGCAATGACAGAAACTTGTTATACTAATACTGTAATAATACTATTAACTAATGTTGCAGTATTAATGGTAATATTAATATATAATAATATTAATATTGCAATCAAATAAAATTAAATGAATGGCTTAAATTTTGCAGTTTCCCAAACTGGGATTCGTGAGGGAAATGCAGTAGTTGATGAAAAGTTAATAATTAATTATATAATTAAAAACAAAATTTTTAAATAATATTTAAAAACAATGAAAACATTTTTTAAAATAACAACAATAATAATTAATAAATAAAAAAGTATTGAAAAAATGTACAATAAAAATTATAATAATTTAAATAATAAGTAATACAAACCTATGGAATATTAATACTAATAAATAATATTAATAATATTGCAATAATAATAACAACACAAATTTAGGTCTGGGCTTTGGCAAAACTGGGGTTTGTGAGGGAAAAGCAGGAGTTGCTTAAAAGCTAATAATTAATTAAATAACTTTTCCATTAAAAAAAAAATATATATATTACAAAAACACACAAACTTTATGAATATATATATATATATATATAAATAAAAGAAACTATCAGAACTAACATTGCAATATTAATATTAATAAATAATATTATGAATATTGCAATAATAACAAAAACTTTGGTCTGGGTATTGGCACTGACGTCCTGATTTTCTGAAATCTATTTGGATTATGATTTAATTAAATAAATATCTGAAGAAAGGATTGATATCAAGAACTGATATTAGATTTAGGGTTGGGTATCATTTTTTTTCTCTCGATACCAACTAACATTGCAATATTAATATTAATAAATAATATTATGAATATTGCAATAATAACAAAAACTTTGGTCTGGGTATTGGCACTGACGTCCTGATTTTCTGAAATCTATTTGGATTATGATTTAATTAAATAAATATCTGAAAAAAGGATTGATATCAAGAACTGATATTAGATTTAGGGTTTGGTATCATTTTTTCTCTCTCTCGATACAGGCGCCAAATCGATACTTTTTAAACGGTTCCGGTGCCTAAATGGTGCGATACTTATTAAAAATACTGCACGCCAGAGGGCGCCCTCGCACAGAAAATCCACACATCCAGTCACAGAAGTAGCGGAGCTCATGGCCCTCCAGGAAATCCCTTATATGGACAAAGGCATGGCTATTATAGCTGTAACTGAGTAAACAGAACATATAAACATTTCGAATGATAAAAAAAAGACAAACACTCGACTGCGACAATCTCTGGTATTTTCATAATAATTAAGTATATTTATAATCCATTGCTAATCAATGTATTCTTTGTAAAGTAGCCTATGGAACACATTTTCTGCCTCGTTCTGTGACGAGAAGCCTCGTCAGATCACAGAAGGAAGCATGTGACTGGTGTTGTGGAGTAAAAAGGTTATAATGTTCTCTTGTGTTGGACAACAGGTTTAGAAATGTGAATACAAGGGAGGTTTAGCTTTAGGCTTTTTAATTTAAGCATGTTTAGCTTAATTAACAGAAGGTGCTGCCATCAGAGCAAGTGTAATTACTGCATTCACGCGCTCCTCGATGCTCTCGTTTCCCGAGTTCTGCTTTTGAAACAACATGGACACTCGCGTTACTACAAAGATGTGTTGGATTTGTATTATTAGAGCTTTCCGACTTGAGTTCACGTGCATGTTCTCAGTCGGGGAATTATTTTTCACGTGCGGTGCCGGTGAAGATGCTTCTTACGTCCGTTTCGGAGAACCAGAGGACAAATATTTCAATCGATCGCTCAGGCACGGCACCGAAATCTGCGTTCGGATTCGGTTCTAGTACATACCGGTTACATGGGTACCGGTGCCATATTGGTACCCAACCCTAATTAGATTGCTCAAATAAAAATCACGATTACTTAGGAAAATAAATCCTTCTAAAAAGAGATACTATTAAATAAATAATGCATAAAATGACCTCAAACTAAGCTAAATTACAAAATGAAATCAAAATAACCGCAATGACCCTGAACTGCACAATGCTCGCGGTCACTAAACCCGTGACCTCTGACCCCGGTTCACTGTACCGTGTTCTCGCTCGTCTGTGATGCTGGAGACGCGTCGCACCATCGCTCGATCCCGACTCCTCTCCTCCTGTTCACGGCTGAAGCTGCGCTTGCCGGCCGCGGGACGGTTCCGGTCCATCCCAGGAAATCCCTTATATGGACAAAGGCATGGCTATTATAGCTGTAACTGAGTAAACAGAACATATAAACATTTCGAATGATAAAAAAAAGACAAACACTCGACTGCGACAATCTCTGGTATTTTCATAATAATTAAGTATATTTATAATCCATTGCTAATCGATGTATTCTTTGTAAAGTAGCCTATGGAACACATTTTCTGCCTCATTCTGTGACGAGAAGCCTCGTCAGATCACAGAAGGAAGCATGTGACTGGTGTTGTGGAGTAAAAAGGTTATAATGTTCTCTTGTGTTGGACAACAGGTTTAGAAATGTGAATACAAGGGAGGTTTAGCTTTAGGCTTTTTAATTTAAGCATGTTTAGCTTAATTAACAGAAGGTGCTGCCATCAGAGCAAGTGTAATTACTGCATTCACGCGCTCCTCGATGCTCTCGTTTCCCGAGTTCTGCTTTTGAAACAACATGGACACTCTCGTTACTACAAAGATGTGTTGGATTTGTATTATTAGAGCTTTCCGACTTGAGTTCACGTGCATGTTCTCAGTCGGGGAATTATTTTTCACGTGCGGTGCCGGTGAAGATGCTTCTTACGTCCGTTTCGGAGAACCAGAGGACAAATATTTCAATCGATCGCTCAGGCACGGCACCGAAATCTGCGTTCGGATTCGGTTCTAGTACATACCGGTTACATGGGTACCGGTGCCATATTGGTACCCAACCCTAATTAGATTGCTCAAATAAAAATCACGATTACTTAGGAAAATAAATCCTTCTAAAAAGAGATACTATTAAATAAATAATGCATAAAATGACCTCAAACTAAGCTAAATTACAAAATGAAATCAAAATAACCGCAATGACCCTGAACTGCACAATGCTCGCGGTCACTAAACCCGTGACCTCTGACCCCGGTTCACTGTACCGTGTTCTTGCTTGCTGCAGGGTCACTTATTTAGATTTAGATAAAATGTATATTTTTTATATTTAAATTTTTCTATTTTGTTTTTAATTTCAGCATCAAAGGCTATATTCATGGCAAACTCAAGATTAATAACATTTAAAATAGTCTTAATATCAATGCTTCAATGAACTGCAAAGTAATGATGTAAATATTATATATTTAAAAAATATATATATATAAAAAAATCTGTTTACCTGCACATCATGTGACGCAGTTTTTATTAATATTTTGAATTAGTTTTTATTTTTTTATATACTGACTTCAATTTTAATGTTTTAATAGTTTGATGTACGGTATTGACCCGAATATAAGACGACCCACTTTTCCAGATGCACCTTTTTAAAAACCAAATTTTGTCTTCAATTATTTTCATATTGCATATTTTTCCTATTTTAATTTTTGTTTTGAAAGTATGGTAAAAACTGGTCAAATGTACCAACAATCACATTTAAAAAATATACACTTTTTAAATATACCATTAAAACAAAAACAACAGGTAGCCCGTCTGAATTAGCACATTTAGGCTATCCAACTAATAGTAGCCTACCACAATCTTATTAACAGTAGAAGTTAAATCTTACTGTAGTCTTCAAATCTGGGTTCTGTCTTACGTTTTAAAATCACAAAGAGAGTTTGGTCCCATCAGGCTAACGTGACTCGTGCAGCTGTAAGCTTTTCTTATTCTCTTTACAACACGCGTTACATTACGTATTTCATGGCACACTGGTTTTATGCGTATTTGGCGCCACCTATTGTTGTGGGTGTATTATTGACACGTCAAAGTCTAGACCCCGAATATAAGACCACCGCGTTTTTTCAGATGCATTTCCAAGAAAAAAACATCGTCTTATATTCGGGACAATACGGTATTTGTCTATTTATTTATCCTTTTATGCCATATCTACATCGTAAGTTAAAAATATATATTTTTAAATATTTAAAATTTTTATTTAAACATTTTAGAAATACTTTTACAAACAAACAAGATAAAGCAAGTAACAATTATACACAATCTTAAAATTGATAAAATTTCTAATATTTTTCCAGGACAATTTATTTTTTTTAAATGTCAATGTACTCGTTTACAGCAAGACATTCTAGTAATTAAAAAAAAATTTTTTTTTTTTACTTTTCCTTTTTTTTTAAAATATTTTATATTGTGTATTATTTCAAGTAACACGTGTTTTTTTTTTTTTTCCGGTTTTACTTTTGGTCAACTAAAATACCCCTGTCCAACCAG